TGTAATCTTCGCAGGTGCACATCACCTGGTCTTTTCTGCTGCAGGGCCTCTCGTATGCAGAAGGATGGATGGAGAGGGGTGAGTTGGAATTCAACAATCCCTCTGGGCATCATCTGAGCAAGCCATGGTGGAAGCCTAGATGAGACTGGAGCAGCCAGCCAGCCAGAGATACTGGAGGTTCCGGGGACTTTAAGGTAGTCAAATCTGGAGTGGGAACCCTGAGGTGCACTGGCTGGGAACTGAAGCCGCGTCTTCACAGGCAAGGCAGGAGCGCTGCCCCCACAGCACCAAGGTCCTTTCCCTGGGTCAGTGTAACCTTGACTCCGCGCAGAAACAAACAACACCACACACAAGCATGATTTCCAAGTTTATAACCCAGAGATAATCACTGTGACCACTGTTGGCATTATTCTCCTACTATCTTTTCTTCGAGTATCACCGGTTTAATTAGCTGTGTTCATCATGGAAAGGGTTACTGACATGCAGGTGGAATCAGAGTGAAGAGAACCATCATCCCCAGCCACCGTCCCATTTCAACGTCCGCCACCATCAGTCTGGGTCACCCTGACGTTGAATTTTAAACCATGGGCAGGTCTTCACAATTCTTTTTCCTCAATCTGAAAATCTAGCCTGTTGGTTAAACTGTGTTTTTGCAATCCTGGATGCATGGCCTGTCCTAAGCCTGCTAGCCATTGGTCCATATTTCAGATATGATGTCTTAACTCAAAACATTGCTAGAACAGGGCAGTAAAAACACCAGTCTCCTGGTATACCACTGCAGATCTAAAAACCCAAGACTCCTCCTCCTTGGGGAAGACTAGGGCAGAGGATCAAGCTTTCAGGGAGAGAGACGTTCGCAGCAGGAGCTAGCAGTTTGTGTTGTGATCACTCACCATGGTTGTCTCAGCAATGGAACCAAAGCTGTTGATGAAAATGTTGCAGCTGACGTTCACTGGAGGACCTGCCAATCAAGAGAGAGATTCTCGTTCAGCCTGCTGGCCATGAAGAAGCCCACCAGAGAGGATCCACTCCTGGGAACCCTGGCTCCAGGGATAGATGCCCCTGGGTAGAGAAGGCCCTTGCTTGCCACCCTCCACCCCACTCCCACGCACCTGGGATTCCCAGGCTCCATTTAACATCACTCTGCCAGACTCCTTGGTCCCCGAGTGAGTGCCAGGCACAGAACACCAGAGCCCCAGTCAGGATGTGCTTTCATTAACACGGGATGAGTCATCAGCCTGCCATATGGCTGAAATCTCTTCCCCAAACCCCAATCGGCTGCCTTCTAATTTGCGGCTACAACATTTGGAGGCCACCTTGGGAATCGTGAGGAACAGCAAGTTCCCTGCCTTGAACTTATGATCGCCTGAAAGGGCGTTGACATAAATGACCAGCTGAGAAATTCCAAGGGAAGGAATTTACATCTTTACTAAACATTTCTCAGCCAAGCGTTTTGAATCCTGCTGCAGTGGAAAGGAAAGAAGTGGGGGCATATTTCCAGTTTGCTCATCTCACGCAGGACAGACCACTATCTAACTGAAGGCCAGTCTCACTTTGTGCCACTAACAACAGCAGCTACTATTTACTTAGCGCTGAGCCCATGTCATCTTATGAACAGATGTAGTTCCAGCCTTCCATTGTCCAGTCGAGGAGACAGAGACACAGCCAGTCAGTGGTTGAGCTGCTGCTTGAGTTCAGATTTCTGTAATTCCTGGGACTGGTGGTCTTAATGATGATACTAATAGGGGTGAATCTCAGAGAAAGGAAAGGGCAAGCTCAAGGTCACACAAACTGACACCAGGCTTCCCACGCGCTGGCATAAAGTGACTAGTTAGGGAGTGAGTGAGGGTAAGTATGATAAGTAAGGTAAAAGGTTCTAGAACAGAGAGGCTCTGGAGAGAGAGGCAATTCAGGGGACCTGATGAGCGATGACCTAGGGTTGGCCTTGAGGTGGTTATTGTTAGTTGCCATTAAGTTGGCCTCTGACTTGTGTCCAAACGAGGCAGCATGGAGAGAAACAGGCTGCATGCTGGGTCCTGTGCCATTCTCCGGTTCAGTTATGCAGTGAACCTGGTCATCCCAGGGCTTCCTGTGGCTGATTTTTCTTCTTTCCTTCTTTTTTTCATAATTAAAGGGTTGATTAAGGTAGTTAACAAGTTGAAATGCCGGTGATAAATGCTTGGAATTGAGTTGGTTATAAGGATATGTTACAAAGTTCTCTCAGGCCTGCTAATAAATGCCCAAAGGGGTATACTACTCCACTGTAAGTCTGTGACTGACTTTCTAAAGCAGATCACCAGGCGGATCTTTCTAGTCCATCATAGTCTGGAAGTCCTGCTGAAACGTTTTCAGCCTCATAATGACGCCCAAGTCTCCACTGACAGATGAGTGGTAGGTGTACATAAAATGATGTATCAGCTGGGAATTGAACCTGGATCTCCTGTATGGAAGATGAGAGTTCTCCCACCGACCCATAGGGTTTGGATATTATATCACAATCCTTCACATGACAATTGACATTTGCCATTTGCAGCGTGCCGAATTTTCCAGGTCTGCTTTCTTGTCGGTCCTATGAGATAACTGAGTTGGGCAGACTAGACGGTGGTCACGCTTTCACAGGCCGATTGAGTGCAGAGAGTTTGTTTGAGCCACTCTCCCTGAGCTGTCCAGTGGTGTAGCTAGAACCGGAAGGCAAGTTCTCTGATTGTAGACAGGAGGAGATCGATGTCCCAGTGTGTCTATGAACCCATTCTTTTCTATTCCTCTTGAAAAAGTAACCGAACCTAAACTCAGCCAAGATCTCTCGCGTTTCAGAAATCTTGGCGAGGAGGAGGGAACCCACTCTTGGAGTGAGAACCCAGGCTTTTTCCTCAAGAGACTATCGAAACTTCTGGATTTCAGACAAAGCCAGAGCTCTCCTGGCTGTTTGGCTCAGGCACACTGCTTCCGCTTTCCCCATCTCAATTCCCCCCATTAATCTAGAGGGGAGTAGCTCTTGATCAGAACAGTCACTCTCATGTCAAATGGTTTGAGTTCCCTCATGGAAGCCATCCATTATGTCTTGGGCTGCCAACTGCCAGGTCAGCGGTTTGAATCCACCAGCTGCTCCTTGAGAGAAAGATGAGGCTGACTACTCCCATAAAGATTGACTGACAGTCTCAGAAACCCACAGAGGCAGTTCTCCTCTGTCCTATACTGCCACGATGAGTTAGTATCAACCCAATGGTCGTGGGGGATGGAAGCCATCCATTTGAATTTCAGGGCTAGTGACTATCAGGGCTCCAAGATGCTTTTCAAGGTCACCTGATCAATTGCCTTCCAGACTTTGGCCTGGAGTAAATTACCTGTTCAACCCCAGATCAGTGAACCACAGTCTCTGAGGATAGGCCCAGAACTAGTGTGTGGTTTTGCAAGTTAACCGGAGTCAACCCCTGCTCTAGACTAGCTGCCTTTCATGATCATGTGTGTGAAACCCCGGGACCAGCTCGTCAGGCCTTTTCTCTCCAGTGGCCCGAGCATCTCTGTGTCTGGAGTAGCCCTCGCTAGTTAGTAGCTCTGTCTCGTAAACATTTTTTTTTTCTTTATGCTGAGCTGAAATCTGCCTCTTTGTCACTTGCACCTAAACAAAGCCGCCCCACTGCCCCCGACTTGGGTTTTCTTTTCATTTAGACTCATTCCATGAACAAACCCCAAAGAGTGACTGCCCACGCCTGCAATGGCGACGAGCCGAGTTCCCACCCAGGGCCTGCCAGTGTCGGGCGCTGTGACTCCCATATAAATTAGATCCTGATTTATGTGTGTGAGCAGGAGCCAACAAAAGGACCCCATGGGGAGGTGTGGTTCATTGAAATAAATCTGAAATTAAATTATCCTTGAGAAAATTACAAACCGGCTGCATTTGGCAGCAGGATAATGTATATATTTCATTAAATATTAAAGTTTAATTTTGCTTTTGTGTATGTGTTTGCATTGGGCCATGCCCCTGATCCTGGGAGCCATTATAAGACTCACAGGCTTAGGGGAGACGCAGGCTCTTGGAGCTGAAGAGCCAGGTCCCATGGTATCATTCTGAAGGGGCAGAAATAAAAGCCCAGAATATACCTGGCATACCGGGCATCTTCAGGGTCACGCTCAGGCAGGTGAGCAGAGGGAGGAAAAGAATCCAGTTGCATGCACTTTGCCTTGATTTGCATTGTCACTCTGTTGGGGGGTGGGGGTGGGAAGAGGGACAAAGTGCCTGCTCTCCCGGGCTGTGCTGAGCGTGAGAAGCAGGGGAGCTTTCTGTTGCTTCAAGGAACAGCTGAATGATTAATCACTGTGGAGTTTCCAAACAATGCAGGCTTCTTCCCAATGTGTCCTGGGTCACAGTGCGGCCTCCTCTGCACGTGGCCTTTGCAGAGCTTGCTGGTTTGCACGGGGCTTTGGGGAATCCCTGGTGGTGGCGTGGGTACCTGTTGGGCTGCTAGCTACGCGTGAGCAATCCGAAGCCACTAGCTGAAGCCATCTGAGAGGCGATCCCATCCTTTGGATTTGGGACCTAAGTGTTCTGGGCCATGTTCTGAGTGTGAAGAGGGCAAGAGCCCTGATCCCAGGATTTTTCGGGTGGGACTGAAGTTTTGTTTATTAAAATTTCCACTGCTCAATAAGTAAGTAAATTAAACAATCACTAGTATATCACTGATGATAGCAGGACTTGGGAAAACCACTTAGCCACTCTAATACCCTGTATATTCTTTTGTTTACTCATTTATTCGTTTACAAAAGGGTTATTGAGGGCCTTTTCTGTGCCACGCGCAGAGGTGCGCGCAGAAGGGAACCCTGGATGCACGCAGGCACCAAACGGAGTGCTGGTGTGGCTCCTCAGGGTGCACTCTCCAGTCTTACCACCAGGCGGCGGAGCGGACTGGAATGCTGGACAGAGGAGGCAGTCAAGTGGCCATGGGTCTTAACCAGTTGTTAGACGTGTTTGTTGTGATTCACGGTGTTATAAAAAGAGATTTGATTGCGTTCCTAGCTTAGAAGATTTCACAGAAAGCTCCAGAGTTAAGTCTGATCAGGGCAGGAACTGAGAAAGTGGGCTTCTCGTGCTGTCGCCCTACCTTTCTCAGGCCCAGCCTGCTGCACTCAGTGCTATCTAACCCTGCCTGGCCCAGCAGCGGATTTGCCACCGGGAGTCTGTTGCAGAAGCTGGAGCTGAGGAAGCTGTGGCAGCAACCACAGTGCCGAGGGTAACCAGGAGTGTGCGAACAATGCTGGGGGTGTGTGTTCAAAGGCCAGGTGCTGGGGGAGCAGGGCAGCCTCGAGGCAAACAAGGTAAGGGGTCTCAGGGCCACTCCTCTGAGAAGGGGACTTGGAGAATGAGGACAAAGTGAGCTAATATTAGGATGTTTGATAAGAACCCTGGGGCTGGTAGCAGATTTCACAGTGGGTTGTTAACGCAAGGTCAGCAATTTGAGACCACTGGCTGATAGGTGAAAGAGGGGGCTTTCTATTCCTGTAAAGAGGTTAAACAACAACAACAACAACAACAACAACTAGCTGCTGTGTGTTCACCCACAGCGACTCTTAGGGAAGGGTAGACCTGCTCCTGTCACTTTCTGAGACTGTTGACTGTTGGAAGCAGAGAGCCCAATCTTTCTCCCAAGGAGCAGCTGGGGAGTTTCAAACTGCAGACCTTGAGGACCACAGCTCAAATTCATAACCCCTGCGCCCCCAGGGCTACAGTCTCAGAAACCCACAGGGGCAGTTCTACCCTGTCCTATTGGGTGGCTGTGAGTCGGCACTGACTGATGGCAGTGAGGGTGGGTTCTTGGTTGGTACCAGCTGTCACATCCCTTATTTGATCTTGGATTTGAACCAAAGGGGATAGTGAAGCCGGGCATCTGGAATCAAGAATGGATTAGGAGGCAAACTGTGGGTCTGGGTCTAAGATGGTTGCCAAAGTGCTGGAATGAGGAGCAACACTCACAGACTCCCAAGAGAGGCCTCAAGAGTGCGGCTCCCTAATTCTGCTCCGAAGTCCGAAGCGGTCTCCCACATCCTAAAGCACCAATGAATAAATGTCACTGCCCCCTTCTTAGGTCCCTGGGTGAAGCCAACAGTTTGTACCCAGCTGCTAAGCCAAAGGTTGGTAGTGTGACCCCACCCCATGGCACCGTGCAAGGAAAGGCCTGGCAAGCCTCTTCTGTAATACCTGGGCCACCATGGGCTAGGCTAGACAGCAGCAGGATTGGTCCCTTATTATTATAGACAGTGGGTTCTCCCGTGATGGTGAGAAAGGACCTGCTTGGATCACCTGGATTAGAGATGATAACTGGCGCCCAACGGCATGTCTGGCTCACAAGAGTCAGAAAATTTCTGGCATAATCTTGATTTCTTTTCGAATGTTGGATGATATGGCAACCCCAGCTTATATTTCTGTAGGGCATCTCCAGGCTAGGATTAAGGGGAGACAGTCCTTTTCAGGTAGGAGAAATTGGAGACTTCCTACTCCTGTGAAGAGTTAGTCTCAGAAAGCCTGAGAGGCTTGCCTTGAGTCAGCAGTGACTTGATGGCAGTGAGTTTGGATTTTTCTTTTTCTTGTTTTATTTCTTTTAGAAGGAGCCCTGGGGGTACTGTCAGACAATCACCAGACTGTTAACCATATGGTCTGTGGTTCAAACCCAGCAGCCACTTGGTGGAGAAAGATGAGGCTGTCTCTTGTAAAGATCTATAGTTCGGAAACCCCATATAGGCAGGGTCACTATGAGTTGGAATCAACTTGATGGCAGTGGGTTTGGACTTGGTTACCGGTTCCATGTAGAGGAGGGTCTATGTATATCTCCATTTCTTCACAGTTTGGCTCTACCGCTTTCTATTGTTTTACTCACTTAAAATACCTACCCAAACCCTGTAGGCCTTTGACGTTGTAATTCGGATTTAGGCTTAAGAATTTCAAAGTGATTTGTTAGTCCGTGGGGCCTTTCAGCAGGTGAGTTTTAGTGCAAAGCCCCTGCTGGTCAAGGGGAGTGACCCGGGGAAAAGCAGGTGCTCACTACGCCCCAGAGCTCCAGGACTCATAGTTTAAAAACCATGACGCCAGCCAACTCCATCCCTTCAGAGATGACCAACCTGAGGCCTAGGGAAAGGAAGAGGCTTATCCAAGGTCAAAGGGTCAGTTTGTATTCAAGGCCAAATTCAACCCACATCTCCATATTCCACATTTTCCCTTCTCCTCTTTATACCCAGGACAGCGCTTCCTGTCAGCTGCTGCCAAGTGGGGGGTCTGAGGACCAACAGAACAGAACAAAACACTGTGCCAACACCATCAGTTGAGGATCAGATTGGTGTTGTTTGCCTGTTTTTTAAAAAAGAAGACTGCCAGGCCTTTCTTCCTAGTCTCAGTTTGGAAGCTCCACAGACACCTGTCTAGCATCATAGCAACACAGCAACATGATAGCCTCCACTGACAGATGTGGGTAGCTACACCTGAGGGGCCTTGGTGCGGTGTTGAACGTGGGTCTCTTGCATAGCCACTGCCATCAAGTTGACTCCAACTCACAAGGACCCTGTCTAGTGTAATGAGACGTGGTCCATCTTCTTGGGTGCAGACAGCCTCATCTTTTCCTTCAGAGAGGCTGGTGGGTTTGAACTGCCAGCCCATGGTTAGTGTCCAATGCTTAACTGACAGTCCCACCAGGGTTCCCCGACTCTCTTTCCTAAAAAGGGAGAGTTGTACCAGTTTTATCAGTAAAACCACCAGTGTGTCCACTCAAGGCTAGTGATCTAAATCCAAACTCACTGGTCCTGAGTGGACACTGACTCATAGTGACCCTATAATGTTTACAGAAGCAGACTGCCACATCTTTCTCCCTCAGAACAGTTCATGGGTCCTAACTGCACACCTTTTGGTTAACAGCTGAGTGCTTTAACCACAGTGCCACCAGGGCTCCTCAGGGATAACAAGTCCTAATTCACATAGTGACTCCTTGCTAAGCCACCAGAATCCTGTTGCATTCAGTTCTCCAAGGCTTTGGGCTCAGGGACTGGACGGAATTAGCATTGTCTGCCTTGGGTAGAGGGAATAAGTCAAGGGATTCATATCAGGTATTTGCTAACACACTGAACCACTGCTGCTTGCTTCTAAAATCCAGCAGCATGCATCCTCGGGGGTCAGGAAAGAAAGTGCTCTCTACCTTTAAAGTTGGGCCTGATCCTGGCATCATATCCAGAGGTTCTCCCCATGAGCTTATCCAGGAAATCCGAAGGCGACATGGGCTTGGGAGCGGAGCGGGCAGCGTCAGCCTCCTTAGAAGCAGCAAGGCTAGAAGGAGAGAAAGCAGTGGGTTAACAATGGTCCCTTCGAAATAAAGGGCATTTATTGAGGTGTAAATACAGGCATGTAAATATGTAAATATATGGATATATGATGATGGGGAAATAGAACCATGTACATATATTTATAGGTTTAATATTAAGGTAGCAGATGGACATTGGACCTCTACTCAAGTACTACTTCAATGCAGGAACACTTTATTCTATTAACCTGGCATTCCATGATGCTCACCTTCCCAAGAAGACTAAGTCAGTGCATAAGCAAATGTGGTGAAGAAAGCTGATGGTGTCAGCTATCAAAAGACAGAGCATCTAGGGTCTTAAAGGCTTGAAGATAAATAAGCGGCCATCTAGCTGAGAAGCAGCAAAGCCCACACGGTAGAAGCACACCAGCCTGTGTGATCATGAGGTGTTGACAGGATCAGGTATCAGGCATCAAAACCCAGAACAAAAAATCATATCATTGTGAATGAAGGGGAGTGCAGAGTGGAGACTCAAAGCCCCTCTGTAAGCAATTGGACATCCCCTTACAGAAGGGTCATGGTGAGAAGAGCCAGTCAGGGTGCAGTGTAACAATGATAAAACATACAACTTTCCTCTAGTTCTTTAATGCTTCCTCCCTCCTCTATCATGATCCCAATTCTACCTTACAAATCCGGCTAGACCAGAGCCTGTACACTGGTACAGTTAAGAGCTGGAAACAGAGGGAATCCAGGATAGATAA